AATTGAGCTTTTTACGAAATAATCACATCAACTTCGCAGTTTTGAAATAGTTCTATAAGGATCAAAACTCTTTGAAAATTCTAGCAACAGAGAGAGGTGTCAATCTATCTAAATATACGCTGTTTACGTCTATTAAACTGCGGGTCATTCGCAAATGCATTAGGTTTTATTCCTAAAAAAGGTCTCGTTATGAACTATGTGAAAATGTATTTCTCGTACCTTGCAGCTTTAACCATTTGCAACCGAGGCGATGTTATTAAGACCAGTTTTGCAGGACAGATATCGTCTACTGACTACTACCTGTTGAAGTTTTGTGAGAAAAAGTGTCGCAAATGCATGTGTTGTGTGGATTATATCATTTGGTCGAACTTCCCCAAGGACAAACTACACAAACAACAAAATAAGCGGGTTTTGTGGACCACCCTAGAGAATATGTGACTTTCGGCCGGGATAATGGCCTTTCGACGAAAGACGTCTGTGACCCCAGAATGCACTGCGTTTTCCAACGAGCATAAAAACAAACATCGATAAAACAGATTTCGACTCCCATTTTATTCAGTAAAGATAATATAGAAAATTGACAACCCTCCATGAAAAAGGCGTAACTTACAATTTATCTTTGGAGGGTATAAGAGTTGTTTGTATATTGTCCTGCCAAACATTATAACTTTTCAATAATACAAGATAAATAAAGCCAAAACAAACACAAACTTCTACGAACAAAATAGGAACCATAGACAGTGTCGGTGCTATTGCGTCAATAGGCATGCTACAAGTTTTTCTGAGAGGAAATTATGTGTCCGTTCTTTTAAGATGTTGAAATAAAAAGCTGCCCGTTAATAAAAGCTTCTCCCATGGCACTGTACAATGGAAAATAATCTTACTTAAAAGGCCTAATGTTTTGATGTCCCCATTTTTGCAGGGAAATCTTTCCAATCTTCCAATGTTAAGTCTTCGATAATCCTTTCTGAACTATCTATACCTTAATCTGGCAACATCAAGACATAGCTTTATCAACAAAGAAAACGTGTCCCCTTTTCACGGCTGATAAGTTATGTTTGATGTAGGAAATCCTTTCCTTGATACATTGGTTGACCTTTTTCTCATAATTTTGCATAGAATCATAGACAACAGCAAACAAAGATTATGTACCTGCTATTAGAGAACATTTGCCCTAAAAATGATAGCATATTTGTCAAGCATTTGATTTAATCGAAATCAGTCGCGGAAACATGGTTTTCATTGCTAGGCCTATTCAACAAGCATTTTAAGTCAACCGAACTCTAAAATTTAATATCTCTACAGCAAAATAAACGAGAGATTTACCTGTCCTATCAATTATCACATGTTATTGCGGTTTGACTCATGTAATTATTGCGGTCCATATACAGTTGCATCGACTTGTACAAATTCATTGTTTTTTCTTCGATTAATAACTGTGACTTGGGAAAGTCAATTGCATCAAGGGCCTTGAACCCAAAATTAAAATTATATTTCACCTGTTGAAGAGACGCAGTTGGTGGAGGCATGGGGGCTACAGCCATTTAAACACGAAAGGTGTTAAACAGTTATAGAAATTTTGCTGACTTGGAAGAATTTTTAGGAACATTTAGCCCCTAAACCGCCCCAACCCCCACTCCCCCCTAGAAAAATTAATTGCAACTGCGCCCCTGGTGTTGTAATTTATAAGAGATTGTTGTGAGGGAGATTAAAGATGCAAGTTGATCTTGAACTACAAAACTAGAGTTGAAAAACTTGCTTGCAGAGATTTGGCTAAAAGCAATGTGAAGAAGACAAAGGGAAAACTAGTGGATAAATCAATTTTTCATTAAATTAATACTCTAAAACACCAGCATTCTAACAATGCCTTTCTACTTCTAGTATACATGTGCAATTGACGTCATCAGTCTAAAGGAACTTGTCGTTGGCATTGACGTGTATGATAACACAGAGGCGGATTAGTTACTATCACTAAATCGCGCATAGATTTTTTTCAAAACTATATAAATTACATTGTAGAAACAATTGAGCAGAGCTTTGCCTTCTAGATGGAATTCGGGGTCTCTATCCTTGCACAGAAAATAAGTGTCCTGTCAATTGCCTTCCCCCACTGGCAAGCCCAGTGCGTTGCGCTTTGTCTCTATTAGCTATATGATAGTTCATGTTAAACTTTTCTCTTGAAATGTCATGCCTTTCGGTGTTGGCCTCAATGAAATTGTAGAGACCTTGAACAACACCAAGTCCATTTCTCATTGACTCATTTTCTGAAAGATCCAAGTAATTTCCAAGGCAGTCGACATAGATTTTCTCGCAACTACATTAATTATTGTAATTTGAAAAATATACATGGATGTAACGTGTAATTAACTTAATATGCTGGAAAAAATTTTTAAGTTTGAGTTTGAGTTTTAAGTTGCCAAATATCTGGCCGGCCAAATATTCGGCCGGTCCCGTGTAAAGGCAATCTCTGGCTCCGTGTTCTCCACAAATCAAAAAAGGCATCACCTGGTTGGAAACAACACGTAAGTCGATGGATGATTTGATTACAATGTTTAGGACGAAGGAAAAACCAAGGTGAGTAAAATTACCACATCGGGTTTATTTGAGGCTTTTGGGTTCATGAGCGGTTGAACCACAGTAAATGACCCTAGGTATCAGGAAGTCTTGAGGGCGAAGGTAGAATTATGAAACTGCTAGAGACTGGATGAAAAATGGAAGAAATGAATAAAAAAAGCAGTCGTCAAACTACTGATGAAACAAAACAATAGTTTTTGTGACAAGGCAGTTTCCTCGTTGAATTTCGTGCTGTACTGTCCTAAGTAAAACAGATGACCGCAAACGAGACTCAAGATGGAGAAGCAAGTCAACAGTATCATGACAAAAAATATACGATTCACGATTTAGCAAAGGACGTTGGCCACTGTCTGCAAAAAGAGGGCCTGTGTCTGTATTATAAGGGGGAGGGGGAATGCTATTAGTCCAAGGAGGGGGGCGTTTGCAGAGTGCTCCCCTCTGTTTACAAGCAATTTCCTGTTAGCTTCATTCACTGTTGCCAAAAACTAAGCTAAATTCGTTTTCCTTTATCATCGATCGATGTGTCATCACAACAAAGATAACAGAAAAATGCAACCTGAAGTTGTCTGAGTGACAAGATAGGTCTGAATATTCCAGATACTACCCAAATTCTTTTAATTTTTTCAGATTATTGCGTTGTTCTCATTTATAAATAGAAAGATATTTTAATGGCTACGGAGATATAAAAGGATTTTGGACTGATGGAACTAAACTTCCAGAGAGGCCCATCCAATTAGCCTATTCATAGAAATAACAGTGGATGCTGGGCCTAAAGAAGCCCGCCAGTAGTGGGGCAGCCCTACCAGTTATTATGCTGGCCTATGCTAGAAAATGCCTTGCATAATATTGAGCAAATAAGTATTGTTACCAATTCTTTTGGTATACTCTACGAAATACGATTAACTTTGGTTCACTGCCATCACTTAACCTCTATGACGTCATTTGTTAAAATAAATGGCTTGTTTTGAAACCACTGCGCGTATAATTTGAGGCCATGAAATGGAAAACCGGTAAAAGAAATCCATCAATTTTGATAATGTGGCGCATACTAACAAATGATTTTGATTTTAAAATGATTTTGAAACACAGTGTTAGAGCTACTTCACAATTGATCATTTTTCAAATCAGATATATAGTCATGGACGTCGCAACTGGGGTGCAACAGAAGTACCTGTCCCCACCCACTTTTTTTTAAATGTCCCTTTCTTTTTTCTAAACTTCTTTTTGATTAAAAAATTTTGGAAAAATGTCCCTTTTTCTCAGACATAGTGCAAGCTCCAAACTCTAGCGTCCTTGCTACTTCTTGCAAAGGAAAGCAGGTTTTGATACTAACCGAGAAACAGATTTAAAAGATACTGGCACAGAAATGAGCTGAGCGAGCAACAAAAGTTAGAATTAAAACGTTTTTAGATTAAAAATAGTAAGTATAAAGGTTGTTTTTAAGAATTAGACCTTCTTAGCGCAGGAAACGACCTGTTATATACTGACCACTTCTGAATGCTGAGGCTTTTTAGAAAATATTTACCAGTGCTAGATATATATGTAAACAATAATTAATAATTATCGTAAATAAATTACACAGTAAAATGAAAACATCATATAATAAAGTACAACAAAATATGATGAAATATAATAAAAGGAAATATAATATAAAATATGATATAAATGAAAGAAAATAATATAATGGCCAGCCTAACAAATAAATTATACAATATTATATAACATATGATATGTTATTATAAAATAGATATCATAAATATAAATATTATGCCTTATACTATATAACATAATATTACAATATAATGTAATGTAATATATTATATCAGGGAAACTGTTGTGAAGTGGCAAAGGCACCCGTAGGCTAACGAGAACTACTGATTCAACGGAACCAAACCTGCAGATAGTTATGAGTTGGTTCGTGTCTTCGGACAAAATCTAGACTTCTAGACTAATTATACAATATTATAAAACATATAATATGTTATTATGAAATATATAAAATGAAACAATAAATATAAATACTATGCCTTATACTGTATAACATAATGTTACAAAATAATGTAATTCTCGCTCGATTGATTGACTAGAATGACGCCGCAGGATATTTTTAGAGCTTTCTATGTTCTACGTCAAAATCAGGTTTTCGATCGATTAATTAGAGAAAAAATATCAACTTGAGATGCAACTGATACCCAAATGTTTTGTTTGATTGGCTGTTTTCAAACTACATAATGACAGTACTGCATTTTTACCTCTTTCATGAATATCGCAATCATTTTTCCATCGATCTATACATACAATTTCGTCCATAATAGTTAGCAAATTACTGTTGAATTCGAAATTTGAATGGCGCTGTTTTCCTTTCTGAATATTAAACAAACATGACATCGATCAAATTACAAAGAAGTTTGAACTTTTTTACTCACCAGGCAAAAAACCTTTGCTTGTTGTTAAACTGCAGCTAACGAAGATTTCAGCACACTGTGAAGCGAGTTTTTCTATTCTAAACAGTAATCATCATTTCCTTCTCCACATGGACGGCTTTCCTGCGCATGAAAACACTGTGTTAGCAATGTTCACGTATCGCGGGCAGGTCTGTTGTGGCTTTGTCTCATTTTACAATTACGTTACGTATTAAGCGGGTCAAGGTGTGAGTGGTTGTGTTTACTTTCTTCTTTATAATCAACACTTGTAATATCATCAAACATCGGCCTAGTAGAAATGATGTAGTTATATGATAATTAATCAATGTTTCTTTTGTGGTAAGTGACCATTTAAACAATCCCACCTGGCAAATGGGTTTGCAACGAATAATACAGTACGCTGGACGTTTCTCTGAAACTCTGGCAGATACACATGGGCCAAGTAGGGGGGGAGTTTCACGCCTTCATATAGCTTTCATTGACCCAAAGAACTCAAATTACTGCTTTTTCTGAAAACCATTCATGTTTTCGGTCACTGGTATTCTAGGCCAATGATTTGATTATGTAGATCCCGTGTGTTATATTTAGGTAACTTTGTACCTTTATTTTGTTTAGAAAGAATAATTAAAAACACACTTAGACGATTATAATTCGTTCTTGGATTTTTCGCTTTCCTCCGGCAGCCTCCTCAGTAAAAACTATTATTTTTATGGAGAGCATATTTCGTTCTTATAATAGAAAGTTTGCCTTACACTATCATTAAGACAAATCAAATTATGAATTTGATCTTAATTATTAGTTCCTTGAACTCTTAGATATTTATTTCTATCTTTATGGGCTGCTACCATGGGTGTAGCAGAGGCTAAACGTTGGGGGGGGGGGGTTAATATTGGTTTTGGTTAATATTGGTTAATATTGGTCAGAATATAACTGCTTCATTGAGATGAAATTGCTCGAATGGAACGATTTTGACACTTTTCGCCTGATTAGTGTATCTGCCGCCCCCACCAGCCCCTTTACCTCCTACGCCCATGGCTGCTACACTCTTTTTTTATAGGAACACACTTTATAAGAACATCGAGGCTCAATTTGCTCAAAAAATAAGATCAAGGCTAGAACAAGCTCAGCTTCAGATGAAAAATTTTAAAAGATGCAATTTGCATTTTGAAATTTATGTCATGTTAACAGAACAAACTATGCAATTTATAATCTTTACCCAGTAAAACATCTTAGAAACTATTTACAGTATGTAACTTTCAAATATTTGCAGAAAATCACTCTTGAATAAGAACAATTTTAAGAACATTTGAGCCTAAAATTATCAAAAAGTTAAGAATATCGAGGTTCGGCAAAAATTATCTGGTTCTTATAAAAAAGAGTGTACTTTGGTTGCTAAACGATTCCAAAAATCTAGCTTTTCTCGCTTTGCCTTCGTCCCTTTTCGTGTTTCCTATACCCGAACGATGTGATGCTGTAAATCAATAATACTACAGGCTTAACCGATTCTGACTTGGTTACGAGGGGCAAATTTTTGACAACTTGAAGGCGCAGCCGTGGAAACGAAAACATAAGAAATCTAACGAAGCTTGTTCAAATCAAACGAAATCACTGAGACAGGAGAAAGTCGGGATGTGAGGAAATAGTGCTTGACGAGTGCAGGCATATTCTTTCAAGATCAAACACACTATTTAATGTAGCCATATTGATAACTGCGTTTCTAAGGTACTAGCAGAGTTGAAAGCAAAGAAAAACCGAATAGTAGCAGTCAATGAATTCGCGGCAAGCAGTTCAATCGAAATTGTTAAGTGCCTTAATATAAGCAAAAATAAATACAGCAAATATAAAATTTCTTCAAATGTCTTTAAGTAAACGAAACGAAAGCTTCTTTGTCGCCTATCTTTTGGAAGCTAAGCAAGCAAAGTAGCCTATGATACACTGGCTATAGGCAAGGCTGCAATCACAGCCTTTCTGATAGTGCCGAGGATTAAGATGAAAACAGACTTGAGGACAAAACATGAGTTATCTCCGCATGAAAACTGTAGAATCTTTCCGTTTTTTGGGAATCCTTTTACGCTATCACTTGCCATATCTCTAAGGAACTGTTTGATTTCAAAGGATCTGAACACAAACAAATGTATCGGTAAAACAATGCATATGTCTATATCTCATACCTCAGCCCATCAAAGAAAGCGAAAGTGGTGTAAAATCATCCATCTCGTGGTCGCAAACATTGTCCACACGTTGGAGGTTCGCTCCACAAAAGTTTAGAATTGCCTATATAAACGAAAGCTCTCTCGTCCTTTTTCGACGATACTTGGTCTCTCGTGTCCCAAATTTACATGATTTGATGTGATTCTAAACAATAACTTTCCTTGAAAGAAGCAACAAGTTTTTATGTACCATAATTGGCCCCAATGTAGTGAAAAAGCCTATTTAGTCACTGAAAGTGCCACAGCAAACGAAAAAGCTGGATAACCGTTCTACAGTATTCTCTCCAATTAGCGGACACCGTCGGGGCCAGAGCAAGGTGCCCGCTAATTGGAAGTGTCCGCCTTTTGAAAAGTTTTGCAATGTAAGTCCCAAAGTTGAAAATAGACCCTAGTTCTGTATTTGAAAGGTCTAATCAGTGGAGGCGCCAGGGAAGGGCTAGGGGGGCTACATCCCCTCCGTCGGAAGCACTAAGCCCCCCCCCCGCATCGGAGGAAATTTTAGGTTATTGTCGGAGCAAATTTGACAAAATAACGTACGAAAATTGCATATTTTAGTCATTGCTAGCCCCTGTCGGCAGTTCCAAGCCCTCTATCAGAAGATTTCTGGCGCCACCTCTGGGTGTAGTCTGGGCAGTTAGTGGCTATCGGGTTGAACTTAGATACTAAAAAAGAAAAAATAACCAAATTGAGCGTTACACAACACTTTCATGGACAAAAAAGTTGGTAAACTGGGCTGTAAAGAAGCTCGAAGCTGTAAAAAGCCAACTAGATTGTCAAGTGTCAAAGTGTTTGAAATAAAAATTTGAATAAATATTCATTCGTCTCGTTTTTTGTTTGCTGGCTCCTACATTTTTTGTACTGTCCGCTAATGGGAAAGAAAAGAAAGCCAAACTATTAATTATTTTGTGCAAACAATATTGTCCGTTAATTAGAGTGTCCGATATATCTTTACATATATGCACAGAAATAAAAGAGTCATCAAATCTTGCCCAGTTTAAAACTCGGATAAAAAATGGAATGGAGAAGAATGTTGTTGCAAATTATGTAGATGCTACGTAGCTCAGGTTGGATTCCTTGACTAGAAAATAAGAAAAAGTCGTCTTGGTGTGAAAATTTTAAAACATCTTTTAACTGTAAAGGCATTGTAAAATTTAATCTGTTTTTTAATCTTCAATTTCATTTCTTTTATTAATAAACTAATTGTTTTATTTATGTAATTATTAATTATTCATTCTTAATTGCTTTTTATTCTTTATTTTTAAAAAGTAGGCCTAAATTAGCTTGCACACAAATTGTACATAGACAGCTATATTATACCCGCCTACTGTAAATAAAGTTGATTATGATTATGATTATTATAATCAAGTGTCCGCTTTTTAGAAAGGATTTTATGAGACTTTGACCAGAAAACGATCGGGAAAAAAAATTTGCCCGCTATTCAGAGGTGTCCGCCTTTTAGAGTGTCCGTTAATTGGAAAGAATACTGTAGATCAAATTGCGCCAAAAGATTAGCGGTTTCCCAAACGTACAGGGTGAATTGTTTCAACTGGATTAGCAAAGCCTCTGACCCTTGGGCTAGCAGATCAGCTATGAAGACATAATTATCCGCCGTTAAGCAATGAACAAAAAAATTCTAGCAAAAACGTTATCGGAGGGCAGAATGGGCAAGCACCTTTCCGTGGGTCGCCAACATTGGCATGACAAAAAACCCAACTGATGTACCCATTAGCAACATAGCAGATAACAAAGAGAAAAGCTGGTATTGCCTGCTATCTTGTGATTCAACACTAGGAGCATTGTATAAGGAGGACACGGAAGCCAGCTACTTTGATGGGGCAACAGATACATTTCCTCGAGGGTAGGGCCGTCTAGATAAATAGATTTGCTCTGGCTTCGGTGACTGCATAGTATTCGATGAATCAGCAGTCATTAGAAGTCGAATCAGTGATCGTTCTTAACCGATTCAGTCGAGCTTGGTATATTGTTTAAAATAAAGGTACCTACAACTACTGCCTGACACACTCAAGCACACAATGTGGATTAATAGGAAAGTAGAAATACAAGATAGGAATCGACTACAGGGCTGGTGTTCTTGATGGACCGCTGGCATTTAGGTGCGAGGATGGCTCAGTTGTTAGAGGCGCTGACTGCAGACCCAAGGGTCCGTGGTTCGAGTGGGGAGAGTCGCCAGCTCTTTGTGATTCCAGGCGTAGGAATCATGAGGTGTGGTCACATGGAGAGGAAGGACCAGGACACTACTCGATAAGCATAGCTTCTCAGTGTCCTAGAAACTACCTTCGGATGCTAGGTAGCAACAAATACAAATACAAATACAAATACAAATACAGAAATTTTAGAGACTATGTCGAGTCTCGTGTTCATTTCAAAACACAGAGATATGTACCATTTAATGAATGGACGGACCATGGTATAACATGTGGTCATTACAGAGCCCTTGTGATATGATCAGGGTATAATTTCTTCGAGAGGCGATTCGGATTCTGTCAGCAAACAATCTCAGTTACGCCCGCAAATCAGTTAAGTTTGCTAGGTCAATAACGTCATGTAATACTACACTTGAAAAATAATCTAAGGATTTTTGAGTGTCCGCTTTTCAGAAAGTCAAAAACTTTAGCTAATGTCTACCATAGAGTATTTCTAAGAAACTTTTAAGATATCAGAATAGTATGATTGAAATTTCTTCTCATTAAATGCGAGTGGCTTGTTATAAACTACAAGTGGACAATTGACAAAAGTTCCAAACCATTCTGAGCCAAACATGATTCAAGAATAACTTTGTTGTGGCGCTCTCTTTTTCTTCATGATAACACATTGATCTACCTGTCTTTTCAATTACATACCGTTATTTGACCCTCTGCAAACAATAAAATCATAGACTAAAACAAAGGATTT